GGGGGGTTGATTTTCCAGTGACTGGATGGAACCCAGTGGGAAGAGGAGCGCTGGTCTCTGTTGAAGATTTGGGGAGGAACGTCTCCCACTTCTAAGGCCTCAGCATCCCAGCTCTGTGTGCTTTGGTACATTTGTCAGTGGACACCCATGCTATCAGCGTGGCAGGAGATGGCAGATGAGCAACACTGACCTCTTCCTTCCCTGAGTAGGGGTGAGAGGCAGAGAATTTTGGTAAAGATTGTTCTTCTCAACCCCAGAAGGAAAACATTTCACCTGAGGCCGCAGACCTGGGACAGATCTCAGACCACAGCTGCTTTCTACCTGCCCTCCCATCCCACAAAGCAGCAAGGCTGCTCGTTTTCAAGATTCAGGGCATCTCGTCTCCGGACTCCTCCCTCATTGATCAGACTTCAGCTTTTTCTTCCCCTTCCCCAAACTCCCCTCCTGAAAAAAATAGTTCCATTAGCTACAAACTCTTTGCCCTTTAAGAGCCAGCCCCAGAAGAGGACAGTAAAATTTTCCAAAACAAAATTCTTCTGAACATCCCCAAAGAATGAGGATCGGTAAGATCTGGAGCTGCTGACCTCTGGATTATTTCAAAAGCCTCTCCAAGAGGTGTTGGGGACCTCAGATCTGGGATGGATTCTAGAAGTGGGGAGATGCTGTCCCAGGGTACATGGGGCACATGTCTGGCTAGGGGAGCCCAATCCAAGCTCCTGCCACTTCCTAGGCATTGTCCTTTGATAATTTCACTGCTCACTGTAGTAGGGTCCCTTCCTTTTCTAGACCTACCCTCCTCTCCTCTAAATGGATTTTAAACTGGGGGCCACTAACCTCTCTGAGAACCTGAAAAATCTTTGGGCCTCCTGGGAGAAAATGGTCAGACCCCCCATGAACACACAATTTTGCATTTAACTTTAGAGAGTTTATGGACCTTCTAGCTGTACACCCGCCGCCCCTGCCATGCCCTGCCCCAAAGGTAGTTTTCCAATTCCTAGTTTAGACATTTCCTAGTCCTGATTACTGGGTATCACCAGTTCTCCAAGGGGCAGCTTTTATCTTCTCAGACTCCTGTCCCCAGTCTCTAATCACCTCTGCTGTGGAAAGGGTGTGTAGAAGGGAAAACCATCAGGCCTACAAAACCAGGAACACCACAAAACAGATTATTCATCGATCCCGTTTCTCTCACAGGGAACAAGTTATCTAGATGCAGCAGCGGAATGAATGTGTAATATGTGTAGTTGAGAGAAAAGAAACAGGAGAAAGACAGAAACATACAGACCAGCCTTGTGTAGAGTACAGGCTTTGACATGAGAAAGTGCCTAGCTCTGAGTCCCAGCCCTCATCTGTAAAAAGGCCATAGTAACTGTCCCAGCAAGGTTGTTGCAAGGATTAGATCAGATGGTGCATTTACAGAAGCCAGGACATAGTAGAAGCTCAACAAATTGTAGCACTCTTCCAATCTAGGATAAGCTGCTAAAAATACAGGAGAATCCCTGGATCAAAGGATGTGCATTTCCTGAGGACTTTTTAACCCATTGTTACTGGCAGTTTTAATAGAATAGAATGATTTTCTGTGCTCCCAGTTTTTCTACCTGACTCAGGGTGCCCGCTCACAGTCCGGAGGCTCCTTGGGGCGGTAGTGGGCAGTGTTTTTCTCCCCCTCTCCTCTGATTAGGACAGAAATGTCTTACCCGCCTGAATGAGCAGGGCACGAAGGTGGGCGGGCTCTCTCTCCAGCTGGCTTTGAAGCTGGCTAATTAGGGCTAGGGCTGTCACAGCTGGCTTCCCCGTTGCCCACCCCCCCCCCATCCCCTGTTCTGCCCCATCCCCAGACTCACAGCCTGAGTGCCCCTCCCTGGGCTGCCTTGCCTTCCAATGCAGACGTGCTGCTCTTCCAGGATATATGGGAAAGGCCAAGATTTGAGGCCTGGAGAAAGGACAAGATGGGACTTGGGACATGGAACAAGCTCAGAGACCCTTGACTGGGTTTAGAGAGGACCGCCTATGGCCCCAGGCCCCCTCCTTATTCCTAATGAAGCCTGGAGAGGAGCCGGCCTGGGCTGGGGGCTGAGCCCTGGGTCCTTTGTTTGAAAGCCAAGCTTTCTGAAGGCTCCAGCCTCCCAACCTGGCCCTTGTAATTAGCCCCAATCAGAATGTTTATGTCGGGGCCTTGTGCGGAACTCAGAGCCCCATGATTTCATTCCAAACCTGGGGGGGAGAGGGGAGGGGAAGGGATTTGTGTGGGGACTTGCAAAAAGGAGGATGGGAATGAGAAAAACCTGGGGTGAGGGGAGGGGCAGAGGTCCTGGTGAGGGTGGGGGCAGGACAACCACTCTCCATTTGACCACTGCAGGGGTTGGTACCCCTTCCAGGGTAGCTGGTGCCCTGGCATCCTGACCCTGGCCTGGGCTGCATGCCTTCTGGACAGGCTCAGTGGGTGGGTGGGCTTGTGCCAATCGGAAATGGCTTGGATGTAATTAACCCAGCTAATCACCAGCCTCAGCCTGGTGGAGGGAAGGGGAGAGCCCAGAACCACAGCTCCCCCAGGAAGCTTCGGTGTCCCTATTCTTTTTCCGCTGACTGGGGCCTAGGATGTGCCAGGCTCTGAAGCTGATTAAGATGGTGGAGTCAGAGGGTGGGCAGGGAAGTAAAGATGCTTAATTCTCATCTCTGGAGAAATGTGAGAGGAGGGAGTGGGCCTGAAGTGGCCATGCTGGGGTGGGGGTGGGAGGTGACAACAGGAATTGTGGGGGCGGGAGGGTGAGAGGATTCTCAGCCACTGCTCCCAGGTGGCACTGGGTGTGTCCCAGACTCAAAGTGAATTTCCCTCTAGGTCTAGGCCTCCCAGGGAACTCTCTGGGGATGAATGTGGCTTTTAG